ACACACACACACACACACACACACACACACACACACACACACACACATTACATTCTTGCATTCTAAGCCCACCCACCTAAATTTGCTTCTCTTCTCCATCTTGTCAACATGCTTCTCCCTCAGGAATATGAGGTTATTTTGAGCTCATGTATGACATATTGACTGTCTCATACTTTAATCACACATAAAAAAAACTACACTTACATCAAATTAAACTCATATCATTGATTGTCTGACTCGTGTGAGCCCTGCGACACACCAACAGGCCCTACCAAAGTGTCCTTGAGCAAGATATTTAACCCCTTCCTGCTCTGAGAAAGAACGACACGGATGTAAAACACAAATTTCTACTACCTGGGTTGACTTGAGATCGTACAGTGACAGCCAGGATAAGGACAGTGAAGACGTGGTGTGAGATCCGTTGAACCGTCATGACCCGCATCTCTTCTCAAGAATCTGCACACCTAAAAGGTTTTAAATCAGTGGGTGAGATTAGTAGTACACCTTCAGCCATAACTGTCAAGATAATTCATTTATTTGTTTTCATATATCATGTCAACTTATTCCCCACAGCAAATAAGTGGATTTTTTGAAGGATTCAGAGGTTTTATTTGCCACACACACAATTTGCGTACTGAAATGCAGGGTGGCAGACTTTTAAAGCTGTGCTAAAGTACTAGTATGCTGTAAATAATAAGAATTACATTATTAGAGTACAATCCCCCGTGAAAAACAGACATATAAATGTTAAAAACATTTTTAAATATGTGTAAAGTAAACGTATGATGTCAGGTTTGTAGGATGTTGTAAATAGTTCTATAGAGTTTTTACCTCACAGTGGTAAAAATGCACATACAGTCCTCAGCCCAGAATCTTGCACACTCTCCCACCACCACTACTGCATTTTATTTACCTTGTAAAAGCCCTGTGAAGGCCTCAGCGACTTGTGCCTCTAACACACTCTGGTGTAGCCCACTGTTCACAAACTGCACCTATAGACGTACACATGATTTCTCCAAAGATTTGTTGGGACAATGTCATTCTGTGTCAGTACGATGTGAATAGAATGTAGTTATACTGTAGTTTAGCACGTCAGAAGTTAAAAAACCCATGTCTGTAAGGAATTTTGCAGTCCATTTCTGGAGAGCTGACTAACTTTCCAGTGGAATAACTTTGTGCCATCAGTCTTTGAGGCACAGATTCAAATTACACAAATGAAAGGCAAATAAAGCACAAATATTGTGCCTTTCTTCCCCTTAATGTTTACAGATAAACCATTTTCTTGTATTTAAGCCTATTTCAAACCTGTGTAATGTATTTTGCTGTATGATGTCACTTTCTGTACGGAGCTGAATTGACACAAACTTCTTTCAGAGTCAACGTGGACACTGGTGTTAACAGCCACATATGAGAAAAATACGGATTTGACTTACTTTGTCAAGTTCTTCTCTTGTTATTATCAAACCATCTGTCTGTGGTAGTATTCCACATCTACCGTGACTTGATGCATGCAGCACTGTTAGTCGCTGACCTCTTATTCCTTGGTAGGTCTTTCTGGGAATGGAAAAGAGAGAGAGAGAGAGAGGGAAAGAGAGAGAGAGGGAGGAAACGGAGGCTGGTGTGACAGTCTCTCTGCCTGGAGGAAAGAAACAGAGAAAATAACACCCTTTGGGATATTGAGGGGAAGCCAAAACCCCAGAATTCCACCTGATTCACAAATGGTTTCAATTATGGCCCACAGAGCAACAGTATGTGGCAGCTTCCACATAGAGCTACTGACAAAAACAGACTGGAGTTCTTTATTTTCCTGCAGAGGAGAACTTGCTAATTAGTGAAGGAGACATCATGTATGAGAAAATAAAATCACTGCATACGAACAAGATGAGTCACAGCTGGGATTAAAATGGACACAGCAGCTGAAGCAGAGAGGAGGCGAAAGCTTGTTTGGATTATCATAAATCAATATGTGAATCTGAATGCTTTGGTACGGAAAAGCACACAATATGTATTGAAAATGATGTGCAGATGTTTGGTAACATTTTATTTCTCATGCAACACAATACAAACACTTTTACAGACACTTAGAGATCATGTTAATGTTTTCAATACTTTAAGTAACCAAAGCTGGCATTGGTTTTAACACAGAGCTTAACTGTGAACATTTTATTTTCTACTCGCCGTCATTAAAAACTGCTGCAGCAGCAACACAAGTATATAAATATTCCACAGCAAAAGGAAAAGCCCAGCACTTGTAATGATAATATAATATCTTATAAAAAAGGCCATGCCCATTGTTTCCAGTCTTTGTGCTAAACTAAGCTAACCTGCTGCTGGATGCAGCTTCATGTTTAGTGTATATTAGTGGAATTGTTACCTTCGGTCAGTCTTGGTGTTTGCCTGTTTCCAGCTACCCGGTTGTTGCTGCTGTTGGCGATCTTTTGCACTACTGTTTAGTTTAGTTTTCCTACTTAGTTAATTTAATTTAATACCATTCTATTTTATTGTATATACTGTGAATTTTTCTGCATTTTTTATTACTTTATTTTCTTTTAATTCAATAGGTTCTGCTCTGTTATTTTATTGTATTGTATATATTGTGCATTTTCCATACTTAATATTTTATTTTACTGTGTAACTTCGTTTGCTGCTGCTACAGACAAATGTCCCCCTGGGGATGAATAAAGTATCTATCTATCTATCTATCTATCTATCTATCTATCTATCTTGTGTTCTCATGGATAGGCCTATATGACATGACATATGTGACAACAGACTTGTTCTTAATATATAAGGATGAACTGGGAAAGCAGGTGGATTCATTTTGGTAAGTGTTGACAAGCCTAAGAGTTTACAGGTAATAGCTCACAGTGACAATATGCTACAGGTATAGTGTACTCTGACAGTACTATGGTCACCGTCTTAGGTTTGTGTTAGCATGCTAACATCTGCTAATTAGCACAAAGCAAAGTACAGCAGATTCTGATCGGATGCCAATAGTTTTGCAGGTATTAGTTAGTTTAAGGGAATGGTTGCTGAGACATTCACTCAAAACCACATGTGTCACCTCAAGGTGGCGCTAGAAGAAAAATGGGATCACCAAATACATTAGGATTCAGCGGGAACCATGAATGTCTGTACACATTTTGTGCCAATTCATTCTTTGATATTTAACTATATTAATGAAAACCATTTCATGACAATCCATGGCACGGTAGTTCAGATGTTTCCGTCTGTGGTGGTGGACCAACCGACTGACATTTCCGTCTCTCCAGCCACAGTGCTAGTCTGCTAAAAGGTACAAACCAAGGGATGGACTTTGCACTGCATGTTCTGTGAAACAATGTTTTTTTTTAAATTCCTTTTTACCTGCAGAATACAAGAGAGGGTGAGCACAATGACACTCTAGACCATTTTTCATTATGATCAAGTAAGCGAAAGTAGAGGCCGCGTCCTGGAGGCCACCCACTATCTGTGTCAGCAGCAGCTGCACTAGCGGAGCTGCAGGGTGTTGTGGCTGGATGTGGGTGGGTAATGGCTGATATTCTTTATATTTTCCAGCTTGTCTACAGCGTTACATCAAGCCGCTGCGGTCTGCACACACAGTGAGCTTATTGAGAGATGTCCCTATTTACCAACCACAGCTGGTGTATCTCTAGCAATAATAGAGAGAGAGCCCTCATTCACACAAAAGACATTTTCTCTGTAATCAATATTAATGAGAAAAACACTTTGAAAAGGTCAGCCCAGGAACCGTTGCTCATATTTCTGGTTATATCCCCCAGAGATGTATTTCAGCAATTAGTAACTCACACCAAATGCACTGAACACCCCATGACAGCAGACGGCATTTGAGAAAGGGCATGCAATTCCACACACAGAAACATTGATTTAAGTGCACTTTAATTCTTAGTACACTTCATCTGAACAGACACAACTTGGTGAGAAATGACAGAGGAATGTGGATGCAGCAAACAGATTGTGAGAGTGGGAAGAGGTAACAAGCTTCAGGGAAAAGAGGGGAGGAGAGGTGAGTGAGGAAGAGAAAGAGGGAGCAAGGGAGGGCCAGGAAGAGATTAATCGATTTTGGAAAGAGCTCAAAGACATGTCCCCAATTCGGTGATTCATCGATCTGGCTCATAGTCAGTAAGGTGGAGCCGGTGCGACAGCTGGCCAGAAGAATACGAAGGAGTCCAGGAGTCTCATACGCCTCCATCTTTCTCTGGAATGGTACTTCAGGACTTTCCAAGCAAGTCACATTCCAAGCAAGTCCTCTGAAGGTTGGAGCAACAGTGACCAAGCAGTTTATGGTTGCCGCAGTACAGCATGAACTGTACAGCGTGGCTACATTTTTAAGCAGCAGAGACAAGGTTGTAGCAGCACCTGCGCACAGTGAGATGTCTGCCTCTGAGACACAGCATCATCTAATCAGAAAGCGGTCTTCTAATAATATGAAACACTGGAGAATATTATGAATTAAATCATGGCATGTATTTTATGCAACGCATATAAGTTAATCAAACTATATACAATGTGTTGAAAAGAGAAAAAAACGGACTATGAGAGAAACATGCTCATTTTTAAACCCACGTGTAATTACAGGTAAGCACAGTAAGGTTTTCATTTTCACACTCCTAAAAATGTGTTAGCATAACCAGACAGACTTGGCAAAGAGGTCTTTTCTTCACAGATCTTCATTTGAAAACAGCAAAAAAAAACAACCACGTTCAAGTCGGATTTGTCACAACTCCACAAACACGGACACAACCACAGTGTAACAAGCCCGGCGAGTCAGGAAACCAAACGGATGTAAGGTACAACAATCATCAAACTGACACGCGCACAGTATGTAATGCACATACTAGCAGACAGCAGAGATCTTCAGAGAGACAGAGCCTGAAACACCACAGGGTACTTTCTGACACGTCTGCATTGGGCCAAATCCCTATCTAGAAGTGCACCGATTTCTTTTTTTTGGGGGGGGGGGGGGGTGGAGCCACAATAAAGTGAACTTAAACATTATAGGATCAAATATATCCATTCAGTTATACTTTCTGAATCTCTGTTTCTTTTATCCAATCTCCCTCAGCTCATATGAGTGGGACTTTTTTTTCTCAGTGCACAGGAAATCAAAACAGGAGGTGAGTGAGTCAGTTGATGATGCAGTTTACTGGTGTCACAATACAGGATTTCTGTCTGATGAAGTCCTTCAGATTCTGAATTTCAGCTGTTTCCCATTGGGCCGGTGCAATGTGCAGCTTCAAGAGCACCACCACTACACAGCCACCTCATCCCCTAAGCAGTCCGCCAGACACTCTGTGTTCAGCACGTTTAAGAGTCGAGCTGCACCGTCAGAGCCCGCTCCCTCCCCCTGGCCCCAGCTGTCCCGGTCATCGCTCTCATCTGTGTTCGATTCGTACTCCGATCCGATCCCCGACTCCCTAAACCGGAGCAGCTCCAGGGCTCCCAAGACCTGCTCCCCGAGCAGCGAGCTCTCATCCGGGGCCCCGTCACTGGGAGTCTCCCCTGTGTCCTGGCCCTGCTCCTGGATGTCCGGCCCCCGGGAGGAGAAGCGGAAGCACTCGAGCCGAACTCCACTGCTGCTGAGCCCCAGAGGGCTGGTGTCGGTGCCCAAGGTGCCTGGAGAGCAGGGCCCGAGGAGGGCGGAGACCCAGGGACTGTCACTGATCTGGACCTGGGATTGAGCTGCAAAAGGGCCCGTAGATGAAGAAGAGCTGGGGGGCTTGGGGCGGAAAGTGATCTCCAGAAGACTGTCCTGGGAGCCCACTGAGGACAGAGAGAAAACATCAATGTTTAAGATGAAATAAAAACACAGGGAGTTATCACATATAAACAGAGATGCAAGACATGAGAAGAGAGGTCTGAGAAAAGAGGATGAGATTATAAATGACGTCTGTGCTGACAGGATTTGATAAATCGTGACTACATGGTAGCAGAGAGCGTTACTGAATCCCCTGAGAGGGCTGCCATGAGATAATTAATTACGTGCCTGAAGTGCATGAGAAAAGAAGCCATAACGACAGGAAGGAGGCACAAAGAAAGTGATGAAGGGAGACGAGAGGAAGGAAGAAAAAGACGATTATATGACAGAAATTAGTAAATAAGAAAACAAGGAAATAGATGATGATATGTGGCAACCAAACAAAATAAAATTATATATTCTAAATGAGAAAGATTTCCACTCACTAGATGTTAATTGGCCGGCAGCTTTAAGCTCCAGTTCCTGGATCTGTTTCACCAGCAGGGAAATGTGTTGCAGCAGGTCGGTGTTCTGCTGCAGCAGCCTCTGCACTCTGGCCTGAGTTTCAGTCCGCGTACACACCTCCACCGACAGCTGCTCCTGGAGGACATGGACCTGCACAGGCCAACACACACACACACACACACACACACACACACACACACCAGTAAGAGGCAACCTGCTCATTAAATTCCTCAGTGGCCCCTAAATTTGGAGTTTGCTAGGTCAAAGGTTTTACTCTTTAGACAGTAATGAGTTAAAGAAAAAGGCTTTCATTTCCCCAGAGGCCCTACTAAAGGAGACAGGCAACACATCAGCATTACGAATCAACATCTGTCAATGAGATTGTCCAATGAAGGCTGCAAACTCTAAAACTCACTGACGCTTTGCTTCAAGTCTTCAAAGGCCATGAAACCACAACTCAAGCGAATTTCATTTTATGTGAAACTTTTCAAAAGTAGCGGTTTAGAGGAATGAAAGAGGTGAGAATGTAATAACCTGAAACGCCTGACCACAGTCTATTAAACAAACCACTGATTGAAAATGGAAACAGCGCATCACTCTATTATGTGCTGTAACGTTTTGTGTCAAGCGTCACAGAGTTTTCCAATAATCCTATTTAGGGGATTTTGATGTGCATCCTAATACCACTGAAATAAATAATTGCTCCTTTGGTTGTCAGGCGCTCATCAAACAAACGTGCTCTTAAAAATTTGATGAATTTGAAATTGAGTCATATGTTTTTAGCCGTAATAACAGCAAGTCTCTGAGGATAGCAATGTTCATCTATCGCCATTGGTTGGTCCACCACTTTGGTCCAGACATAAATATCTCAGCAACTACTGGATGGATTGCCATGAAAGTTTGAGATAATTGATTTCCAGAGATTAAAAAACAACTGTTGGATGCGTTGCTATGGAATTTGGAGGAACAATTATATTTTTGGTGATACAAGGCTTTACACTTGAATAAATTCAGTAAATTGTAAACTCTGTATAGACAAATGAGGCCATTAGGCGTTTCATCAGGAACAATAAAAAATATCACAGGTGTGGTACCACAGGATACAATAATTGCCATCAGTACCTGCTCTGAAGCGGCCAGTTTCTGTTGTTCCTGCTGCTGCAGTTGTTTCTGGAGGAGCAGGACCTGGGGCTCTGCAGAGCAGGGAGCCTCTTCTGCCGACTGACCCGACACAGAGGCCCCAAGGATGGGGGAGCCCAGCAGGAGAGACGGGTCATCGGACACCTAACACAGATAACAGTAAATTGGGCTCTACTTCTAATGGCAACAAACATGTAGCTGTGATGTTTCCTTTCCTTGAAATGTCGGTTTCTCTGAAGTGATCAAACACATAGAAACATAAGCACCACCCACGGGAATTCAACTCATCACGAGAAATACAAAAAAAGATTGCTACGTCATTTATGAACCTTGCAGTGGCAGAAGAAAAAGAAAAACAACATCACAGTACATGTTTGGGCTGCATGGGAAGAAAAGAACAGTTAAGTGTAGGGTAAGATAGCCAACAATCCAAAGTAAAGTAACAGTGGAAAGTAAAACATCATATGAAAGCTTGAGTGTACAGTAACACATCTAAAGAGGTGGTTTAAAAGCTGACACTATCTCTCTCTGCCAGCCTGAGCTCCGTGGAGGAAGAGTCAGTGAAGATACGCTCTCTCCTTTCATTCTGATGGAAAAATCCACAGATGAGATATCAGCATTACTGCTTGATGTTCAAGGCCTTCCAGAAGACATTCTGTGATGAAGCCTTAAAACCTACCTATTCCCTCCATTCAGTGCTACATCAGTTAGTGAATTAATTTACAACATTTTCCAAAAATAACCCCCAACAGCACACAGATTGAGTTTCTTTGTGCTGTAGTCAAAGGAGAGAGCTGCAGAGAGATCAATGCTATATCCACCATGTCAAGTTGTATGATGAATACATGAAGGTTGAGTTGTTTTTCACAACAAAGGAAGACCAGTATAGACACTGTAGTTTCTCTATTGAGGCTGCTGTTGATAGGATTTTGTATTGTTGTCTGCTTTATAGATTTCCACTTGAACACTTGAACTGTGAGGTGCGTGTAGAAATAAGAGCTTGATCTTCGGTTTTGAGGGGCTGACACCCAGGGGTGGAAGTAACGAATAAAGTAGATTCAATTTACTCTGGGTACTGTTACACACTTTTTTTGTGTCGGCTTCTGTAATTGTCAGCCACTTTTTGAGTATTTAAAAAAATGTTAGGTGGCCTAATTTATTTTTTAACTTGCAACTACTTTCTGTCTTTAAAAAAGTAAGGGAATGGAAAAAAGGAGGTAAATATTCAGCTGCAGCAGAGCAATTAATCATATTGTCTTTAAATGAGGAAACTGTCATTAAGTCACGATGTAACCATGTATATGTAGCACACTATGATACAGTAGGTGGTTTGTAGTCCGCCATGAAATCAAAGAAGAAGAAGAAGCTGCTCTGCATCAGCAAGAAGGCAGAGCTCACGTGACAAATACACCTGTTCGGTGTGTCGCATTCACCTGCTGAGAGTCTTTGAGTGGTGGCACCGGGGCTAACAGTTTGTGAACAGTACAAAAATGCAATATATTAAACAATTGCGTGATTATGACTTTAAGTTACCGTTACTGTACCTCAACTTAGGTAACAAAAAAAAAAAAGGTTGTGTCAGCAGCTGAGCTGTCCAAGTCAAACACACCGAACAGGTGCATGCTGGGGAACATGCTAATCACTAACGCGCTCATGGCACCTCGTCCATCGTGATTGCTTTCTGCGTTCACGGAGCAACGTTTTCTTTCGGTCAGGGGTTCGAGGGCTTTCTGCTGTTTTTCACCACGTTTAAGTGACTGCAGAGCTTAATTAAGCTCCACGTGTTTCACAAACTTTAAGGGCGCGCAGTGGGACCAGAGAGACCGAGTGGACTGGATACATTATGGATTGTGAAAGAAGGAGCAGAGACGTTGAACCTGCAGCAGATTGAGGAGGACTGGTGAGTACAACGAACTCGCTGTAACATCGGTTACCATGGATATAAAACGTCCACGTTGCTAGGCAATGCAGTTGTGCGTGCGTGCCCGTGTGCGCATTACGCGCTGAGTGACATGTTTGGTTTGGTGATGTTTTTACTCTGCTGTTGTCTGCAAGAATTGTCAGATTGTTTCATTTATGTGGGTCAGGCTAATGTTTATTTTTGCCCCCGCCGTGGTGTCCATTGTTATTTATTGTCGTTCATACCTCGTTTAATTGTCTGAGGTTTGTCTCTTTTCTGGTTCATGCTACACTGTGGAAGGCGGTTGTATAATCGATAATCAATTGTGTGCACAGGCTGCGATGTGTCTGTGGACTAAAGCCATTAAGGGCTCTGCGGTGCGATGTCAAATTAAATGTTAATGCACTCTATTATGTCGCATAATAGCCTTCTTTAATATGTATATATATATATATATAGCTGTTCTTACCCCCCTTAAAGCATATCGTTTACTCATTGTAGCATACATTCTACTTTTATTTGAATAAAATGTCTTTGAAAGAGATGTCACTTTTACTTGAGTAAAGTATTCCAGTACCTTTCCCGTCCCTGCTGACACCAAAGCATGACATTTACGGATGTTTCAGTCCTTTAAATAATTTCTGCTGCCATTGTACAATCTGAAGGGCAGTGGAAACAAGCTGTAAGCACAAAAGTCACACTTCTTTAAGTTGATTTGCCTAATCTGTTAGTAAACCATTGCCTTATTTCGCATTCAGGCTATCTGATGAGTATAAGTTGATATCTACAATATTTACGTACTATTTATTTACTCCTTATACATTTTAAGAGCTGGGCACTTTGATTGAGGATCCACAACACAAGCACGACAAATCAGTCCTACTGTACATTTAGCTCTCATCATGTCAAAGTAATCTCTGGTGTATGAGTAGCATCATTTTATCTAATTGTGGAGATGGTGTGTTCATGAGGATTGCATCTATAACTAGATCTACAGATTGACTGGATGGGCTCCTGCCTGGACAGGTATCATGACTCACACAATTATGTTAGAGTGCTGCTGTGAGAAGAGCAGCCCTGAATGACACGACCTGTCTCTGTTTGATCTGAGATGTGAGATCAATATGGTGGATTCAGTTGTCATTAATGCTCGACTGTGAGGACACTTGACCTTCAGATTACACACGGGGGATGGATTAAAATGCATATGAGATCTTGACATATGACATGCTGCTGTTAGACTGTGGCAGAATTATATGATAGCTTCAATATTTATATAATTCAATAATAAAGCAATTTTTCTTGTTCTCGGGTAACCAATTAATTAGTCGCAATATCCATCAATCTAAACCTCCACCACAAAACTATAAAGCTGACAGCGCCACAGAGACTCGGTTTGAAAATGAGCCTGCAGATAGCGGCTTGTTCAACATCTCGGGGTTAGCGGAGCGGCGCTAGAAAGCCTTATTGCTATGTTTTAATTAATAAACCATACGATCACATCAGTGAGAGCTTCTTGGAGCACTTCTTCACAAACGAGCCTTAAAGACGCCGTTGCTCGCTCTACGTCCCTCAGTGGCATTTGCTCATCTTCATACGACTCCTTGTGATGCCAAACATTCATCATGACACCCTGTGAGCTGCAAACCTCCCAGAATTAATTATTACCAGGACATTTCTGACTTTATAGATCAGAAATGTTCCAGAATATTGGCCGATCAGTCAAAAATACACTCTGTTTATTCTCAGATGTTTCCTCTGAAGGAATGAATTTATGTAAAAGCAGCAGGGACTAAGAGACTGATCTATTGACTTGTTTGTGTCGTGTCTGGGTGGAAGAGGGGGGCTTCAATTAGGCAGTTCAGTAGCAGGACAGCTGAGACAACTAGTCGATTAATTATTTAATCTACAGACATGTAATTGATTGATCATTTAAAGGGAGACTCCAGTTATTTAGTATTTTACATATGGGACATATGTTGCTGTTTTTATTTAGAATTTTACAGTATAGTATTCCTTATGATGAAAAAAAATGGAAGACTTTGGCTCGTGGACTGTTGGTCGCACAAAACAAGTGATTTTAAAAAGTTTTGGGATATTATGAGGGTCATCTTTCTACATGTCTAGACTTAACGATTCATTGAGAGTATAAATGGGAGCTTGATAATGATAATTGGGAATAAGAATGTGTTTGTTGCAGCCATGTATTTTAGCGGCTGTGTGCAGCCATAAGGATCAATCAATTATACATTGCAGGGTGGTTTTCATCTCTTTACAAAACCTCCTGTTTTTAATAGAGCGAGAAAATAGCGGGGCTTTGTATGAGCGACACTGAAAGGATTTCAAAGGACTTCTGTACTCTACCTTCTCATTGTTACCGAGGGCCTCGTCCTTTTTGCTCTTCTCCAGGTCGGATGAGGAGACGCACTCAATGCTCTCCTCTGTAGTGGCTTCAAGGTCGGTCTCTTCTGACAATGCAAACCTCTTCTTTACTGCGGAGAGACCAGATATACATATATAGAAGAACTGGCACACAGCTTTTTCTTTGACCGGCTTTGTGGTTTGCAACATATCTAGAGGCGGCGACAGCCACAGCAGCGGGCGAAGAGCTGGCAGAAGCCCACACACAAGCAAGGTCTTTGATCAATGGATCGCCCGACTCACCGACACACATCTGCAGCTGCAGCAGGGCAAGCTGCTGGAAAAATATCGGCAGTGACATCTTTTCTCTAGGTGTGCTCAGTTGCCACTGCATGTTTGTGCAGGCGCTCAGGGCTTTAGTTTGTGATGGAGAGAAAGCAAGAGATGGAGACGAAGAGAAGGCCTTGGGAGTTTGTGTGTTGCTGCGTGAGGAGATGAAAAGAGCTTGTGTTTGTCCCTGAGACTGAAGGAGAACAAGAAAGAGAGACAGAGACGGGAGGTAGAAGGAGATTTGTGAGTCACCTGGCACTGCCTCGGATTCCTCCACCTTCCCCTCCTCATCCTCCTGGTCATCGCTTTTCTGCTGCAGGGTCAGCTGGTGACACACATCGAACGCCTGCCCCACCGTCCGCACGATCCTCATGGCCTGCGACTGTAAAGGGAGAACACAGAGAAAAAGTGTGTTGGAGTGTTGAAAGCAGGGGCGGGGGGAGCAGAAGCAGCAGGAGCAAAGTAAGGGAGGATGCAAAAATGAACGGGCACAGTAGGGGAGAAAATAGAGTGCCAGAAGTGCTACACAGGAAATGGATAGATGAACTTGTGTGTGTGTGTGTGTGTGCACACGCCCAGAGGGAGAAAAAAAGAAAAATAGTAGCAGGAAGAAATGGATAATGTGGGGGCAAAATGAAGACAGAGGGTGGGGAGATTGGGACTAAATTTAAGTCAGAAGATGTTACGAGCACATTGTCCTTGTCTATCTGCTTTGCATACATTCTGCTGTCATAGTGATGGATTGGTCTATTTCAGAGGCAAGTGACTTTGAATGGAGAGGGAGTGAAGATTGAGTTTGTTGTTATTGCTGGAGGCTCAGTAGGTGTGTCAGCATCATCAGGTCATCGATCAGGGACAGTTCAACTGGCAATAACTTAAAAAAAATTGTAAACTCTTACTTTAAATTACACAAAAGCCACATTTCCCATCAAAATGTATTGCTTTTTTCTCACTGCATTTTGATGTTTGTTTTACTTGTGTTGTGGAACAGAAAATAAATCAGCTTACTACTTCGATGATTGAATAACATCAAACATTAGTTCGAGTGATTTGAAGACGTCACCTTGGAGTTTAGGGCATTGTGACTATTAATCAATAAAGAAAATAATCGTCAGTTGCAGTCTTGTCTTTATTGTATATAATACAATCTATATATTTTTGTACTGGCTTAAATGAGGCACACAGGCAAGAAAATTCAATGTGGCCTTTGAGACAGCAGCACTTATAAAGCTGTAATATTCAGTCCATGTCCTTCCCCAATCTCACGAAAGATGAGTTTTCTATATTGAACAGTGGCAGAAGCGAGACTTGCAATGAATGTATTGTCCTCTGGAGAATGATCCTGCCTCGAGACATTCAGTCAATATGTCAAGGTAACTCGAGCCTGAAGGCAGTTCAATCAAGTGAAATAGCAAAAACATTTAATAATAACACAGGAATAAAGTGATAAAAACGATTTATGAAATTACATTTCCCTCCATGGATTTCTTCTTGTCAGGTTAAACTACCAGCCCTCCCAAGGCCAAACACAAACGGCTCTGTTTGTGCACTGAGCTGACATCTAAGCCCCGTTGGGCCGCAACATGCCGTGATGAAAATAAATCAAATCTCTTATCAGCTGGTCCATCTCCTCCTACTCAGCACACATGCTTGGTCTGCAACACCGAGATAAGGCTCCGCGGCCCCGGGGAGATACTCGGGCACAACTTGCCGTGTGTCCCTGACGTTGTGGTGGGTGTCGGTTCAGCGGTGGTGAAAATGTCTGAAAGCGCTGAGTGAAATAGCCCCTCTTCTTTTCTCTTCCCACCAGGATGATTAGTATTCAGCTTCACTAAGTCACTGTCGGACTGGTATCCATGGTGAAGGGATGGGAGTCAACCTCACTGATGCTCTGTCTTTGTCACGGAGGAAAGAAATGTCCCTGCTTGGTATGCAGATATGTGGAGATTCATAAGCATTTTAGCTCAAAATACCAAAACCAACAATGCGTTTGACGTCACTTGAAAATTTGCAACCTCCGCAGCCTGACCTGTTGCTCTCTCTTTTATGGGAAACATGCTTATGATTTCGTGCCGAGAGTGAGATGAGAAGATTGATACCCTCCACGTGTCTGTGTGGTAAATATTAAGCTACCGGCATTTTTTAACAACTGTATACTGCTAACCCTGTATGGATGTGATATGATTGCTATCATTGTTGTATGGCTGGGCTCAGGTTAAATCCTTTGACAAATGCAAACACATAAAAAGAATAAATGCCATAGAACTTTCTTTTATTATGTTTGACTTAAATTAATAAATCTAAGAAGGAATGAATACCAATTCCTTTAAAAACACAATCTACTTCCATCAACGATTTCGGATGCAGCAATGTTTTTTCCCCCGGAGCTAATAAGCAGCTAACGAGTGGGCCGTCCCGCTTCTTTATCATCTCTGTCAAGAGTTGCACATGCACAGTACGGATCGGGTAGCGAGTGACACGTGCTGTTGACAGTAATACAAATATAGAATATCACGAGACTTAAGCATGAGCAAACTTACTTTCCTCTTTGACTTGAACACATTGCAGCGGAAAATGTTGCTCTGTCCTTCTCTCGCTATGTAACTGAAGATCTTCAAGTCTTGGGCATCATGTGAGACATAGAAGATCCTGTCAAAAAGAAGACGATACACGATTTTTAATATAGTTTGTTATTTGGTGTCTTTGTTTTTCATTTAAAACCTACCTGTAGATGGGATCCTGTGTCACTAAGATCGTATTATCGTCCCATGACCATCCTTTTCTCTGTTGCAACACAAAGAAACATGTTGGTTAACAGTGACAAAGGTGGTGAAAAGACAAAAAGATGTAATTCAAATAAAGTTGCATTTCACAGGACTAACCTTCCTCTTTTTGCGCAAAATCACTTGGACACAATCAGTAGATATGACAATGTTGACCTTCTTTTTCTTTATGTTCTTCAGTTTGAATTCATACTGTGGAAAAAAAATATTTAAATTAACCGAATTCTAAAGTTCATTCAAAGCAAACCGATTATTATGCAAGGTGTGACTGGCGTTAAATACCATATGAGCCCGCTAAGATGGAGCCCTTTACACAAGATAAATGAAATGTGTGAACAGAGGGAATGGATCATGCAGACAGGAATATATTTTTGACAATTTTCCTCTTAGGGTAAATATGAGATTGAGTAAACACTGTCAGTTTCTGCTTCTGGGAGCTGTTTAAGCTTTCAAAGTCAGACTTCCCAGAGGGAGGCAGACATGTGTGGGACACTTTCATCCCTCTCCGTGATTAATGCTAGAGCCTGTACCCTCTGCCGACACTGCAGGCTCAGACTCCAAATATCAGGGCCCAGAGATCTAAGAACAACCAGGATTCATGTGAAATAACGCGCCGCGCTTTGAAAACGCAACATCCAACATCAGATGATTAATTGATCAGATGGAGTTCTGCGAAATCTTTTTGGGCGAACGAACCGCTCTGCCTGACAGACTTGGATATTCTCTGTCATCTTTTCTTGGGTTTGTGTAAAAATAACAACCTGACGCTGTCTTTTATTTTTCAGCAGGATTGGAACTGTCCTCGCACTCTTGTATTGACATTTCATAATAAAAGACATCTCACGGGAAGTGAAGAAAAGGGATTGTTGTTGTTGCCAACATAGCAAGTCGTATCTGTGGATTTAAGCCCTGATGAATCTGGTGCAGTTTATCTATAAGCCTGTGTGACCTGTGTCACATGCTGCAGAAAATTCACCTCATTAGAAGATTCAATGGGCCCTCATTCCTTGTCACACGCTCTTATCTAGTTCATCAGCCTTATTGTTGTGTGTGAGGTTTCCTCTGAGGCTCAGGTGAAGGACACAACTCCCACAATGTGTGTGTGTGTGTGTGTGTGTGTGTGTGTGTGTGTGTGTGTGTGT